GTCTGAGGACGTGGTGAGCTTCTTCTCGCGGGGGCGCATCGACGGCAGCATCTTCGTGCAGCTCACTGAGGAGATCCTGGCCGATGACTTCAAGCTCACCAAGCTCCAGGTCAAGAAGATCATGCAGTTTATCAAGGGCTGGCGGCCCAAGATCTAGCCGGACGCCGGGGTCCCCTGTCAGTCAGTTGGGGCCCCTAGGGATGGACCGGACCCGTGAGCCTCTGGGCTGCGCCGTGGGCAAGGGGTCAGGGGGGTATTAGACCCCCTCCACCTACAGCGGTGGCCCCACGCCTGGTGTTCCCTGCTCGAGTGGGATGCCATGTGCACGGGGCTCAGATCATGTGGGGGACAGGATGCTCCTGCATCAGCTGCAGGGTGCCAGCTGCTCCCTGCCTGTCCTCAATTTGGGGAAGGGGATTCTGGTTTAATGCCTTGTTGCCCTAGTCAAGGCAGGGGGAACTCCTCCTCCATCCTGCTGGGGTGGTGCTGCCATGCCGTTTGCCTTCCTTCACATTGCGCCCTCCTCCTTCCTGGTTAGCATCTCTCTCTCCTCTCCAGGCCCCCCTCTAAAGCTGCCTGTGAACCTGGGCCTGGCAGGGGGCTGGGGACCTGGGCTGGGTGCTGCACAGGTTGTGGTGGAGGCAGCCCTGCCCCTGGGGCAAGAAATGCTGCTCTCATGGTGCATGAAGCTGGGTCCCAGGACCTGTCCCCGCAGCTGCCCCCTGGACTTGCACAGACCCTGTGTTGCCCACCCTTGTCCCCCCACCCTGAGCGTGGCTGTCAGAGCCTAGGCCAGCAGGGACTAGGCCCAAGGAGGGTGAAGATGGAGATGGTGGGTTGCCACCCCTGGTCTGGGGCCAGGCTGGGGGCAGGTGTCTCAGTGCTGCAGAGACTCTGGGACTCCCTCACAAGAGGGAATATAGCTGGTGAGTCCCTGGTGCTCTGCACCAGCCCCGCAGCTATGCTGGCCATGGCCCCTTCCTGGGCACCCCTGAGGGCACACAGAGGTAGGCGAGTGCATGGGAAGCCTCAGGGAAGCCGGCACCCCTTGCCTAGGAGACAGCTGGCAGAGACCACCTCCTACCTGCAATATGGGAGAGGGTGTCTCCTTCTCAGCCCCCTTCCTAGCAGAGAGGGGCATGCGTGGGCACCCACCTGCCGTAGGGCACAGCCCTGTGCTCACCCAGTTCCCTCCTGTAATTGGGACTAAAATGACCCCCAACTAATCCTGGCCCAGCTGGGGCTGATGATAATGCTGCAGGCCCTGCTCCCTTCCCTCCCCCTTGTCTACCCTGGGAGGATGAGAGCAGCCAGGGCCTGGTGGTGCTGGGCAAGCCTGGGGCGTGTTTCTACTGTTTTCACTTAATCCATGTGGATTAGAGAAATAAACGACCGAGAAAGAGAGCCGGGGACACCGTGCATGCAAGGAGCGGGTGGGAGGGTATAGCCCGCACCCACGACAGGGAGTATCGACCCAGGGCAGCCCTCTGCCCAAGTTCACTGGGGCTGGCCTCCACTGCTGCCCCAGGGACTGGCACCAACCCCTGCTCCACAGTCCACCTGGGTGCAGGTATCCAAGGGCTTAAATCCAAGGGCTCCTGCTAGGAAGCATCTAGGCAAGAGGCTGGGGCTACAAGGCAGGGCTAGGCAGGCACCCAGGCAGGGAAGCAGAGGTCCTAGGGCATCGGGGTGACAAGGAGAATGGCATCTGTCATGTGCCTGGGGCAGCAGAGGCCTGAAGGGCTGCAGCACAAGTGTGAGGAAGGGCAGAAACAGCTGGAGACCGGGGAGCGGCAGACAGGCTGGGGCAGAGCCGAGTGGGGCTGCCATGGGCAGAGCCAGCAGCTCTGGCTCATAGGCACTGCCCCACCCCTGCACATGCACAGGGAACAGGCCTCGAATGCTGCAGTGGAAGTTGTTACCTCCATGGGTTGTGGCTGGAGCCCTCTGCCGCAGCTCTGCGACTGCTGCCAGGGGTTGGCGCTGCACTGCAGCCTCAGGGGAGTTGCCTCTGTGTCCCTGACGCTGGAGATAGGCGGCACCTGAGATCAAAGGAGCTTCCTCCAGACAGGCAGAGCCTGCAGCTCAAGGTCAGAGCAGCCAGCACAAGTGGGGCTTCTCAGCATGAGATTAGCCTTGCAAAGGGGGCTCAGGGAGGCAAGACAGCGACAGCCCCAGCCCCAGCGCTGCCTGGTTCTGCCCTGCCACCATGAAGAGTGGGGCTGCTGTGATCCAGGCAGCCCCATGGCAGGAAGGGGGGCGGGGAAGGGGAGCTGCCTGGCAATTAGTGACAGGTGGGCAGAGATTTAAAGCCTTTTAGTTTGAATTAAGCTCTCCCCGTGGGGGCCCCGTCTGGCCGGCACAGGATGGATGGGCAATTACAGCAGGGCCCATCTGGCGGCCGAGCAGACAGCAGCGCCATGGCTCCTGTGGACAGACTGATCCATGCCAGAGGTGATCGAGGCAGGGAAGGGGCTTTGTTCAGCTGCCAGCAGCCTGGATGCACAGAGCAACAGGCTGGCTTTGAGGTAGGGGAGTGTGGCCACCCTCACCACCCTCCCTGGCTGAGCACAGCCCCCTTCCACCCCGAGGCTGTGTGCCTGGCCCAACAGCGTATCACACAGACGGAGTCTGAGAAACCAAGAGCATGGGGTTTATTGTTGAGCGGGTGCAGTGACAGACACGCAGGGACACGCAGCTGCCCTGGGCACGGGTGTCCTGGCTCCGCTGGTTGGATGGGCGGCTGCAACATGTGGGACTCGGAGGCTGGACACAAGGGAGGCTCTTCTGTGAGCAGCCACAGGGGTGATGCCCAGCCTGGGGGCGGAAGGGGCCACGTGCCCATAGTACTGTGGCTGCTAAGGCACTTGGAGGACTGCAGGCATCGAGGGCACCTGTGGCCCCTCTTGCTCTGCCCCCACTGCTTGTGAGATCCACCTACAGCAAAGCTGCAGAGCCCAGGCAGGGCAGCAGCTCATGGGGACTGTCACTTGTGGAACTTCTTGCCTGGGTCCTTGGCGTGGTCCAGCAGCAGCTGGCAGGGGGTGAACTGGCTTCCATAGACAGCCTCGTACTTCCTCAGGCTGTCCACTAAGCGCCCGGCACCACGTGTGTCTGCGTAGCGGAAGGGACCTGCCGAAGGGACATGGGAGGGTGGCTCAGGAGAGCCCAGCTGGAGGGAAAGGCCTTGCAGGGGCCTGGGAGGGTGGCTCTGACCATCAAAACCAAGAGGAGCCTCTAGCAGAGAGGGCAACCCCATCCCCACCCCTACCCTCGCCTTGCTGTTTGCTAGGGTCAGGCTGTGCCAGGAGACAGCTGGCAGCACTTCAGCCTGCGTGCGTGGGGACAGCAGATTTGGGCACCGAAGTGGCTGTAGAAGCTTCCACCACAGAGTCCCACCTGCACTCAGGGCTACTAATGATCCCAACTGAGCCACTAATACGCCCAGGATCCGCCTGCCCTGCTGGGCAGCATCTCTGTCGAAGGAGAGGTGACCACTTCATCCTACACATCGGCAAGGCACAGCTGTGCCGGATCCCCGCCCCCATCCCCAGCTAAAGCTGCAGGCCTCCAAGGCCAGACCTTCACGGGGTGAAGGCAGGGGAAGCGGGGGGCAATAGTCGAATCTCATAAGCAGAAGAAAAGCAAGGCTGGGCCACTGGCTGCTCTCCCTTGGCCAAGCTCAGAGTCCCACAGGACCCACCCCTTCCATGAGGCTGAGGTATGACAAATGATTGCACCCAGAGATGAAGTGCTTGCATGGGATGAGCAGTCACTCAGGGTTATTTATCATGTCTGACCCAGACCCCCTGGCAGGCTGCAGCTGAGACCCAGGAGCTCCACTCCTGCTTTAGGCAGCTGGCTGCAGACAACGTGGTGCTGTACAGAACGGTCCCTTGGCCAGTCACACAAGCCGAGGCCCCATGGAGATCCCGATTCCCCCAGAACTAAGAAGTCTCCATGCTGGACTCTAAAGCCAAGGTGAGAACCAGGCCCAGCTGCTAATGGGACTGAGATGCAAGTGCCCTGGCTGTGCTGTCTGCACTGTGAAGACCACACGGGGTTGGGCTCCAACCGAGGTGATGGACATAATCCCTCTGAACTACCTGCCACTCAACACTCCCAGGAGCAGACCGCAGGCCTGTCCAGCCCCGTGTCCTGACCCAGTACAGGGGCCAATAACTGAGGCCTGGCCTCCAGTCTGTTGCAAATGCCTGGGCCCCAGTGCTTGCTCTTCAGCAGAGCAGTGGGGATGCCCCTGCTTACCTCCCAGGCAGGGTGGGAAACCCAAGCCAAACACAGCGCCAGTGTCCCCCTCCATGGGGTTGCTGAGAATGCCCTCCTGCAGGCACATGACTGCCTCGTTCACAAACCGTGTCACCAGGCGCATCTGGATGTCCTGGTCGGTGGAGCTGCAATGGAGATGTGCAAAGGTCACTTGGGTAGCCAGGGGACTGGGAGCAGAGGGGGTGTGCAGGAGTCATTCATAGCTTACTGAATGCTCCCAGCCACACTTGTCTGCTGGACTGAAGCAGACAGGGAGGAGCCAGGAAGGGATCAGGCTGGAGTAGTACTGGAGCTAGGTCAGTGTCAAGACTGCAAGACCCAACACAAGAGCATGCTGGTCCCTAGCAAGGAAGGCAGGAAACAATTTATCACAGGGTCCCAAAGTCCCAAGAAGAGCCCAACATGGACTCTGGTAACATAGGCCCACCCCAGTTCTCAAGGGTGCTGGGCTTTCCTGAAGCAACACTGCTCTGCGGCCTGAGTTACCAGCTACAGCCACGGTCCCCTGCCCTCAGCTGGCCAGGCCCAAAGGCTCTGTCAGGAACACAGTGAGTTGGTCTTGATGGGGCTGGGTGCCAGGGCCACGTCCACCCATTCTCCCCAGAGTCTGCGGGGCTGGCATGCAATTTACTTACACTGCAGGGTTGGCTGGCAACTTGAACCTGGTCAGCAGCTCATCCATGCCAGAATTGAGGCTCCTGTTCTTTGCACCTTCCTGGTAGATGTAGAAGCCCTTCAGAGCCTTGCGGCCTGCCGGGGGAAAGGGCGCTGGTTACAGGGCAGAAGGGGGGAAGCAGCAGCCTCCTGTGGCTGCTGGGACATTTGCCTGTGAGCCACTGGTCACTTGACAAGTGAGACTGTGCCAAGCCCCACTGCCCCCTAGGAAGCAGCTCTCCTGCTCTCTGGAGAAGGAAGCCAGCAACGTGGGCTTCACCACTTGGTGGAGAAACAGCAGTAGCTCCTGTAGCAGGGCAGGGGTCGGAGACAAGGGAGGGGGTGCGGATGTCTGCTGGACCTTGCTAAGAAGTGCCCAGTACTGCTGCCATGAGGGCTGGAGGCCCCAAGGCAGAGTGACCTGTTCCCACAGTCCCCACAACCAGCAGACCTGTCCACACTGGTCCAGTCAGTGCTCAGGAACACAGGCACCACAAAGGAGGACAGTGACCTGAGCACAGCCCAGGGTGCTAATACTCCAGCCAGGGCTTGGGTGCAGCTCCTGCTCCCAGCCTTCAATGAGGCGCCTGCCTTGGGAGATGGCTCTGCCCCATGTGGCCTTGTGCAGAGGAACAGTAGACTCTGGCAGGCGCCACCTGTCCCAGCCACCTCCTGTCATGGAAGGTCAGAATGACCCGAATACCTGCCCACTTGGGCTCCCATACCCCTGCCATCAGCATGGGTCTGTCAACAGGCAGAGAGGAAGAGGAGGGTGTGGCAGGGCCCAGTCCAGCCCCCATGTGCAAACCTCACTCACCCAAGAAGCCCTTCTCCACCATGAGCTTCATCAGCTCAACGCTGCCACCACCAAAGCGCTCGCCGAAGGCCTTGCCCAGGTCCTCTGCCACGTGGGCAGCCACGTCCACCCCCACCTCATCGATCAGGGTGGCTGCACCCACAGGGAAGCCGAAGCCAGTGGAAAGGGCGTCCAACTTCTTGGGATCCGTGCCTTCCTGCAGGGGGAAACTGCGGGAGGTTACTCAGGAGCTAAAGGCCCTTTGGAGCCTGGAGGAGTCCCGTCCACCCCACCCAGGGACCAGGGCTTGGCGAGCAGAGGGATGCCAAGGAGTACATGCACTTGGGTGTAACTCTCTTGTGGTTTGATAAGCAGCCTCCCCTCTAGAGCTGCCAGCTAGATAGGCCAGGGGGTCTAAGCCACCCATGCATCACCACCAAGGCTGCAGCAAGAGGCCCAGAGCAGATGCAGGGTGCCTGGCATGGCTTTCCTTACACACACAGTGTGACCCGTCACTGTCTGCTTTACCCCCCACCCCAGAACATTGCCCCAACGCACCTGAAGGACCCGGACCACTTCTGCCAGCATTGGCCCTAGACATCGGGTAGTGTAGAAACCCGGGCCATCCTGGGGAAGGAGAGGAGCAGCAAAGCAGGTTAGGTCGAAAAGCACGGCAGGAATGAGGCTCTTCTGCCTGCTGAAAGTGCAGGGGCTGCTGCGAGGCAGGGCAGGAGATGCATCCCAAAAACGGGAAAAGTGCACCATGGCACATTTACCCCAAGCAGAACAATGCTCTGTTGTAAGGGCCAGGTGCAGCTAGCTCTTGAGCTGGCTGCCCAGGGAGGTGGTATTATGGCACTTAACTGCTCACCACCCTTGAGGGAAACAGCCCCAGAAGCAGACACACAAAATCAGAGCAGCCTTCTCCTGGGGATGTCCAAGTGAGTTAATCCTGGAGTTGCTTTGCACCACATAAGAGCATTCCCCAGAGAAAGCACTGTGCATTGTGTGTCTGCTCCACTTCTCCCCCAGAAAAAATGTGCCTTGTGCCCAGGCCCAAAGGGGCAACAAAAGCCACCAAATTGTCCATGGGTTCATGCTCCATGACTCAACAACTAGGCTGGTTCCACCTGGACAGAAAACAGCACATGGAAACCTCTGCCAGTGCTTAGGACAGGGAGTATTTTCACTCTTATAATTGTGCCCAGCTCCAACTCCCAAGAGCTTAGCACAGAGTCTGATCATACTGACTGCACTCTGCACAGGTGGGGCAAGGCTCACATGAACCCGGTTGTCCGTACTGGGTGTGACAGATGTAAAGCAGCAAACAAGCAGGGGAAGACGTTTTAACACAAAACTGCCCTCAGAGAGGAGGCATTTGCTAAGTCACAGACTGCTTAGAGCATTAGCAGAGGGGCCAGACAACTGCCAGCTCTGCAGGAGACCAAGGCTGGGAGGACCCCATCAGCCAAGTCTGTTGGCAGGGGGAGCTAAGAAGGCCTGTGGTTTGGGAGGCATATCCAGGTCCTGCTAGTGCAGGACTAATCCTAGTAACTTTTCTTGGTAGT